ACAAAGAGTAGCATAAATTAATTAAAAAAAAAGAATTACAAAATAGTTACAAGATGGCAATCCAGACTACATACCAATCTTAGAGGTCCATTCATCCTGTCCTGTGGCCTGAGAGGACAGCCGGTTTTTTAAGGTCTTTTGGAATCCCAAAGATGCTTTTTTTCAAAAGGCAACTGGACTCTGCTTTTGGAAGACGTTTCGCTTCTCATCCGAGGATTTTCTTCAGTTCTAATCTGAATGCTTGAGGATGGAAGGATTTTACATTCCTTGCAGTCATCTGGTCATTAGCACTCTTTCTGAGAGTCGTTGAAGCCACTTGGAGGCTTATTTGTGCCCTCAGGGTCACCTGAATGAGAGTGCAAATGGATGTGGAGCCTTCTTGGAACCCTTGAAAGGACTGTGTTGTAAACAGGAGGTTTGAAAGAGGAGTCAAAGAAGCCATCTACATTAAGATTGAATTGGTGGTACCTTGCTCAATAGTAGCAACTGTGAGGGGGATCTCAGAGTCCTAGTGGACAATCACTTAAATATGAGCCAGCCGTGTGCTGCAGCTGCCAAAAAAGCCAACACAGTGCTGGGTTGTATTAACAGAGGGATAGAATCAACATCACATGAAGTGTTAATACCACTTTACAATGTCTTGGTAAAGCCACACTTGGAATACTGCATCCAATTTTGGTCACTATGATGTAGAAAAGATGTTGAGACTCTAGAAAGAGTGCAGAGAAGAGCAACAAAGTTGATTAGGGGACTGGAGGCTAAAACATATAAGGAACGGCTGCTGGAATTGGGTATGTCTAGTTTAATGAAGAGAAGGACTAAGGGTGACATGATAGCAATGTTCCAATATCTCAGGGGCTGCCTCAAAGAAGAGGGAGTCAAGCTATTCTCCAAAGCCCCTGAAGGCAGGACAAGAAGCAATGGATGGAAACTGACCAAAGAGAGAACCAACCTAGAACTAAGGAGAAATTTCCTGACAGAACAATTAATCAGTAGAACATCTGCCTCTTGCACTATTCAGGTGCAAGATTTATTGCATGCTTAAGCTCTCTATAAGAATCTAGCCAACTAATGGTCAAGGGAAATGAGTGGGAGATAAAAAAGGCATTCAAGGTGGGCTGGATGTAGACCTCTTGCGGGCACACAGGGACTCATGACTTATGACGTGTTTGACCCCTGTCATCGCCTACAGTCCAGTTGCCTTTTGGAAAAGCACCTTTGGGACAACCATAATCTGGATGGTTGAGAATCTCCATAGACATAGGATATTTTTAAATATTCCCAGTCTAGCCGAGAGGTATGTGATGTCCTGTTAAGTATTTCATCCTTCTTTTAATCAGGCCTGACGCTGCTAAATTCAACTCAGTGTCAATGGCCTAATTGAAGATGTTTGAAGTAATACCTTTATTCCAATTCAGCAACCTTTGGAAACATTAGATAACTGCACTCTATTTTCATCTCCACAGCCAGCCCATTGAGGTGGTAGTTGCTGGTGATGGGAGCTGTGATCCAATATCTGGGGGAGGAGGGCAGATAGGAACTGTTGTAGTTAAAAAAAACAGAACAGTGGAAGGCAAAGCTAGAATCAGGACAACATCCTTAGGTGGATATCCCAAAGATGCTTTTTCCAAAAGGCAACTGGACTTCCTTGGGTTTTGTTTTCTTTGAAAACATTTCACTTCTCACCCAAAAAGCTTCTTCAGTTCGCACTGCTTCTTGGATGAAAAGCTAAACGTTTTCGGGGGGGGGGGACCAAGAATCTGAAGAGAAGGATGAGGGGGGACATGATAGCAGTGTTCCAATATCTCAGGGGCTGCCACAAAGAAGAGGGAGTCAAGCTATTTTCCAAGGCGCCTGAAGGCAGGACAAGAAGCAATGGGTGGAAACTAACCAAGGAGAGAAGCAACCTAGAACTAAGGAGAAACTTCCTGACAGTTAGAACAATTAACCAGTGGAACAACCTCCTCCAGAAGCAGTGAATGCTCCAACACTGGAAGTCTTTAAGAAGAGATTGGACATTTGAAATAAATGATACCTATCCTAAAGAATGAGGTTAACTTAAATGAATGGCAGAAAGGTATCAATAAATTTATTTGGGCAGGGAAAAAACCAAGAGTAAAGCTTAAAATTATGCAAGATATTCGTGAGAGAGGTGGACTCAAGGTACCGAATTTGAAATTGTATTATGATGCTGTGGCTTTAACATTACTTAGTGACTGGGTTAATTTAACAAATGTAGAAATACTCCCCTTGGAGGGTTGGGATTTACTTTTTGGATGGCATGCCTATTTAATTTTTAATAAAAAAGTTGACCGGGTTTTTAAATCTCATAAGGATTTCTTTACTTCGGGTTTGGAGGAAATATTATAAAAGTGATTTTAAAATACCATTATGGGCTATACCTTGGCATGCGATAGAGGGGATAAGGAGAGGAGTTAAGATGGATAGTGTTTCTTATGCACAATTACTCAGATGGGATGGTAAAAATTGGCACTTAAAATCTTTGGAAGATTTAGTACATGAAAATATTACATATTCATGGTTTCAGTATAGACAAATAGTGGATAGATGGAAGATAGATCATAATATGGGTTTGCTTAGAGAAGATGAAAATCTTTTTAAACAAGTAAAAGACCAAAGGCGAACTCATATTAAGAGAATCTATGGGGTGCTAGTAGAACTGGATTCAGAACCAGAACTAATTAAAGAATGTATGATTAAATGGGCACAAAATTTTGGTGAACCAGTTCTACTAGATACCTGGGAAACCATCTGGGTGAGGAATGTTAAATTTACACAAGCCCAGAACTTAAGGGAGAATTTTTACAAAATGTTTTATAGATGGCACCTTGATCCACAAAAAATGTCTCGTATGTATCCTGACTTACAGCCTAAATGTTGGAGATGTGGTTGTTTGGATGCTACTTATTATCATATTTGGTGGACGTGTAAAAATATAAAAGCTTTTTGGATTAAGATATGGTGGAATATCCAAAGAATTTTTAGAAGGAGGGTAAAATTTACCCCACAATTGTTTTTGTTAGGTATCGTTACTGATTGTGATGCTAAGGAGGTTATACTGATGTTAAATTTAATCACAGCCGCAAGGTTGTTAGTAGGGCAATACTGGAAGAAGGAATCTTTGCCTACCTTGCAAGAATGGTTTTTTAAAGTTTCTTATTTGGCGGAAATGGCAAAGATTTCGGCTTTTTTAAAGGATCAATCGCAAGAGAAGTTTTTTGCGGTATGGGAAAAATGGATAGATTTTATACAACATAAGTTGGATATAAAAAAATATTACTTAGTTTTTCAATAACCTATATATAAATTTTAATATTTTATAGATTGTATTTTTTTTTCTTCTCTTTCCTTATATTTTTTATTTTTATCTCATCTTATTTTATTTCTTTTTTTATATATATATCTTTTCTTCTTTCTTTTCTCTTTTATTCTCTTTCTTTTTAAGTATTTTTTTTCTCTTTTTTTAATATCTATGTTTTGGTTTGTTTTTACATATATATTATTGTTAATTATCTTATAAGCTTAGGTAATGTATTTAGATATATTAATGATTTATATTTTTTTAATTTTTTTTAAGATTTTTAGAAATTTTAATCAAGCCTATATTCAGCTCTGGGAAGGTGGGGGGGATGGACTGGGAGGGCTGGGGTGGTTGGGTAGGGTTGTTTTGTTTTTTTTTCTCCTTATTTGTAAAAACTTTTAAAAATTTTCAATAAAAAAAAAAAGAAGAGATTGGACAGCCATTTGTCTGAAATGGTATAGGGTTTCCTGCCTGAGCAGGGGGTTGGACTAGATGACCTCCAAGATCCCTTCTAACATTATTATTATTATTATTATTATTATTATTATTATTATTATTAATAATAATAATAATATTATTATTAATCATCGCACAGTCAGCCAGATGTTCAGACTGGATTTGGCATTTTGTCTACCTATCGAGTCCTTACCCAGGACCTGGGATAGGCAGATGTGGATGCTTGATGGTATTACAGATATCGTCGCAGGATGGAAGCAGTTCCTAGTAAGGCCGCCTTTTGCAATTGACTAATAGCGAATTTGTCAATGCCAAAGGTGTTCAAGTGGTGCTCCAGTTGTTTTGGGATTGCACCCAAGGAGCCTATTACTATTGGTACTACCTTTGCTTGCTTTTGCCACAGTCTTTCTATTTCTATTTGTAGGTCTTTGTATTTTGTTATCTTCTCCAGTTCTTTCTCGTCTATTCTGCTGTCTCCAGGCACTGCCACGTCCACTATCCAGACTTTTTTGTCTTTCTTATCGACAATTGTTAAGTCTGGGGTGTTATGTTGCAGGTGCTTGTCTGTTTGAATTCTGAAGTCCCAGAGCAGTTTAATTTTATCATTTTCTATGACTTTCTCTATTTTATGATCCCACCAGTTTTTGCTTACAGGCAAATGATATTTTTTGCAGATCTTCCAATGCACCATTGTTGCTACTTTGTTATGCCGCTGCTTGTAGTCAGTCTGTGCAATCTTCTTGCAACAGCTTACCAGGTGGTCCACTGTTTCTTCAGCTTCTTTGCATAGGCGGCACTTACTGTCTGTTGCTGTCTTCTCAATTTTGACTTTATGTGCATTTGTCCTTAAGGCTTGGTTGTTGTTGTTGTTGTTGTTATTATTATTATTATCTAGTTGCCTTTTGAAAAAGTGGCTTTGGGACAACCACGACCTGGATGATGGAGAGTCTCCACAGACACTTGGATGGATATGTTTTTGTCTCCCCCTTGCTACAGCAAAGAATCTATTTCTTTAGGCTACCCATCCTATTTCTGGTGGGAGAGCATGGAGGAATAATTGGGAACTGACCTCTGGTATTTGAGTCGAAGGAGCAATTTGAGATTCTCCACTTCCTACACACCAGATGTTGTCTCCTCTCGTTGGCTTTTGATTTGTGAGAGGCTTAGTGAGAAGATGGCCCATCCCTCCCTTAATTCTTTGGATGTTTGTTGCTCTTTTTAGATCTTGACGACTTGAAGTGTGCCCCGTTTGGAAGTTACAGCAGTGGATCTCTCCTGAGTAGCTTTCCAAGCTATGATTGGTCTGATAAAGAAGATGCCTGTCAGAGCAGAAAGTCTATCCCCTTCTCCCTTCCTGCAGGGAACGGATCCTCCTTAGCCACCACGGTTCTCCAGAAGAAGGAGACGTTTTTTGGCAGCTCTGAAAACATCACCGTGACCACCGTTTCCAAGGTAACGACCTTTGCGAACGAGGATGCTCTCCAAGACGTGAAGTTCTCCTCTTTTGCAAACTTCAGCGATGCCAGGCCTCGCTCGGTGGACCAAAGCGAGGATGAAGCGGAAGACTTTGGAGAGTTTGCTCAAACGCTGGAGGATGGAGGCGAGAGGCTCACCAAAGGCAGATCTCAAGAGTCCGATTCAGCCCCTGTCTTCTCAGAAGCTGGGAAAGAAGTCTTTGACGACTTTGGAGAGTTTCAAGGGGAAAAACCCAAGATCAGCAAATTTGACTTTTTACTGGCAACTTCCCAAGGGAAAATGAAATCCAGTGAAGAAATGATCAAAAGTGAGCTGGCCACTTTTGACCTCTCTGTTCAAGGTGAGAATCCCTGCTGATATTTTGCTTGTAATTATAGTTAATTGGTGGTTGGTTCTAAGTCCCACCTAGTGCTGGGGATGGAGAAAATCCAGGATATCTCTGGAGTTCTTTATGATTTGATTTCTAAAGCACCTCACTTGCCAGCAACTCTGGGCAGAGAGAGAGAGAGAGAGAGGTTGTAATAGTAGTAGTAGTAGTAATAGTAGTAGTAGTAATAATAATAATAATAATAATAATAATAATAATAATAATAATAATAAAGTTGGAAGGGACCTTGGAGGTCATCTAGTCCAACCCCCTGCTCAGGCAGGAAACCCTATACCCATGGTGGCGAACCTATGGCATGCGTGCCACAGGTAGCATGCAGAGCCCTCTCTGTGGGCACGTGTGTCCTTGCCCCAGTCCTAGGCCTTCAGGTGGGTTTTATAAAACCTTTTCACTTTAGGCCAAGGCTTTTCAACCAGTGGTACGGGTACCACCTGTGGTACATTGGCACCTGGCAGGTGGTACGCAACCATCCTAGAAAATTGGTAACGGGGGAGGAGAATGAGCTGAACCAGTGGCACCACCACACAAGCTTGAGCGAGAGATGGCTGGAGCTACAGGGCTGTCAGGGCTCAGTGGAAGCGCCTGGATCAGTGCCGCTTTCCAGCTGATCGGCGCTTCTTCGGGGCTGTCAGGGCTCAGCGGAAGTGCCAGGATCAGCGCCAGGCTCCAGCTGGAGCTCGGTGCTGATCCTGGCGCTTCTGAGCCCAGAAGAATTGCTGATCAGCTGGAATGTTGCAGCATCTCCAGGGTCTTGTGATGTACATTCAGATGCTTGGCAACTGATTCATATTTATGATGGTCACAGTGTCCCAGGGTCATGTGAAGTGACAAAAACCTGCTGCAGCCACCCAGCAGATGGGGAGAATAAAAACCAAACACCTCCCCACCCCATCCCTGCTGCCAATCCTCAACAGAAATGCTCACAACAATGAAAACCTCGGACAGGAGGAAGAGCGCTGCCAGGCGGGCAGGCAGGTGTCTTGCTCGGCTGTGTCTTGGGGGGGGCATTTTTTTCAGTGCCATTGTAACTTCGAACAGTCACTAAGCGAACTGTTGTAAGTCGAGGACTACCTGTACTTTATCACCTTTTTCCTTTTTTGGGGTCATCAAGTTTTTGACACCTTTCTAGGCGACTGGTGGTACTAGGATGTTTCCATATCCTAAAAGTGGTACAATGGGTGAAAAGGTTGAAAAGCCCTGCTTTAGTCCTCCGCCGCCGTGTGCAAAAAAAAATAAAATAAAAAGGTTCAAACAATCAAATCAATTTCAACTTCTCGCGGGAAAAAAAAGATCTCGCAAAGTTGGAATTGATTGATTGAACTCTTTAGTCCCACCCAGTCTGCCGTTACCACCACAGCTACGCCCACCCAAATGGACCACACCCACCCAATGGGCCATGCCAACACAATGGGCCACACCAACCCAGTGGGCCACACCTACCCGGAACCCGACGACACATATGTGGGTTTTGGGTTGCAGTTTGGGCACTCGCTCTCTAAGAGGTTCGCCATCACTGACCTATACCATTTTGTGGAGCTACATAGAATCATAGAATCACAGGGCTAGAAGGGACCTTGGAGGTTTTTTTAGTCCAACCCCCTGCTCAAGGCAGGAGACCATATTCCTATGACCACAGTTGAGCCCCAAATTTCTGTTGCTAAATGAGACAGTCGCTAAGTGAGTTTTGCCCCCATTTGACGATCTTTCTTGCCACAGATGTTAAGTGAATCCCTGCAGTTGTTAAACGAATAACACGCTTTTTAAGTGAATCTGGCTTCCCCATTGCCTTGGCTTGTCTGAAGGTTGCGTATGGTGATCACGTGACCCCAGAACACTGCAGCCGTGATAAATATGAGCCAATTGTCAAGCATCCGAATGTTGATCATGTGGGCAGGGGTGCTGCAACAGTTATAAGTGTGAAAAACGGTCCTAAATCACTTCTTTCCATTGCCGTTGTAACTTCGAACGGTTAACTAAGCAAATCTATCTGTATTCATGGACCTGACCACACCTTTCATACCTGTATTTCCTTCCAGGTTCTCACAAAAGGACTCTAAGTTTGGGCTCCTCACCTCTGCCACCTGTGGAGCAGCCTTTCAGAGATCGATCAAACACTCTGAGCGAGAAGCCTTCACTGCCAGTCATCCGAGACAAGTACAGAGATCTTACTGGGGAAGTAGAGGTAAGGAGAGAACCAACAAAAAGACTGTGGCTTGGTGCACCTGTGCTGAAAACACTTGCTTGATTAGGTGCCAAACCGCAAATGCAGGTAGGGCAAAAATCCTTGTGGACAGAACTGAGAGCTGCTGAAAGAGAGGTAGAGTTATTGCTGCCTTGTTTCCCTGATACACTCAGTTTTCATCATGATTTTTTTTTCACTTATTGCTTACCTCAGTGTGTTTCTCAGCCCCAGCGCCCTTTAAGGTCAGTGGACTTCAGTTTGGCTGAGGGAGTTAAAGTCCATAGATACAAAAACTTCCTGAGTTTGAGAAACACTGACTTACAGACATCTCTGTATACTGCCCAATTCATTCCAGTTTTTAGTAGGAGCACGAGCAACAAACTAAAATACAAATTAGAAATAATTCAGAGCAGCCCGTCTCATAAACCAAACCCACCAGCCCACACTCGGCCACATTTTTCAATCCAGGGGCAACATGCACAACAAAAATTCTTTGGAACCAGCCTGTTTTAATGTGCTTCCAAAATGTCAATAGGAGGGAACCAGTTTTGCTAGCGGATAGTGATCCAAATAGCCTATTTGATCTTCACAATTTGATGGGAAGAGGCCCCAGTCTTCTCTCCCAAACTGCTGTGTGCTGTTATAGATGAAGGAAAATTTAAAAAGTTTCTGATTTTCCACATCTGAATTTGGCTAGCCCAGGGATAAGCAACCTTGGCTCTTTTATGACTCGTGGACTTCAACTCCCAGAATTCCTGAGCCAGCCATGCTGAGGAGAAAGGGAGAGGTTTCCATGCTGAGCCATGCTGGCTCAGGAATTCTGGGAGTTGAAGTCCACGAGTCATTAAAGAACCAAGGTTGCCTACCCCTGGCTAGCCCATGCAGGAAAAAAAAGTCACTCGTAAAACATCATACCATGTTGTTCTTTTTGCAGACATTCAAAATTGTTTCTTTTATCTTCTCCCACTAGGAAAGTGAGAGATATGCCTATGAATGGCAGAGATGCTTGGAAAGTGCGCTGCAGGTAAGTAGGTGACCACCATCTATCTGAATAACTTCCTTTCCTTTTATGTATGTGTTACTTGGTGATTTGAAAAGGGGGAAGTTGGTGATGACACCTATAGAGCAGCGAGTTTGTACAATTACCTTCAGTGTATTATTTTATATCAGTGGTTCTCAACCTGTGGGTCGCAACCCCATTTGGGGTTGAACGACCATTTCAAGGGGGTCACCAAACAACGCAGTCCGCCATTTTTTTCCCCTTTTCCTTTGCTGTGCTACGCCCTTTTATTCTATTGGCTTTTGAAAGCCGATAGAATAGACTCTCTTGAATAAAGTCTAATTCTATTGGCTTTCAAAAGCCAATAGGAATTGTCCAGGCTGTCTCTGCCCTGCTGAGCCCACCAAAAGTCCCATTCTGCAAACGGTGCTGCAAGTTGTCTGCAGCGAAGGCGAGCTGTCTGGAAGTTTCCACCCCTCCCTGCTGAGCAACTACTAAAAATGTAAGTAAAAGAGGGCCAGGGGTGGGAGGTGGGAGGCTGGCGGGCACAGGGAGGGTTGCTGGCATGCGTGGGGCCTGGCGGGTGCCTTACCTCCCTTGGGCTGGGCTAGCTGGTGGCCCAGCCAGTGGTCAGCCTGCGCCATCTCTGCCGCTTGCCAGCTACGCCTCAGCCGGCGCAGGGGGCGGCACCACGCATGTGCGGCGCTACCGGACAGGGAAAGTCCTCGACTTACGACCGGTTGGGTAGTCCTCGACTTACGACCGGTTGGGGGTCACGGCATTAAAAAGGTTGAGAACCACTGTTTTATATTGTCGACACAATGTAAAAAAGATGTTGAGACTCTGGAATGTTATAACTCCTAATAACCAGGAGGAGGTCCTGTGCAACACATTTCTGGAAACCAGTTACATAGTGCCTCCTGCTGGTCAATAACCATTATAACTTCTGTAACAATTGTACAGAATAGATCCCTTAAGTGGGGCGATCTTAAAGCATAAGGCCAGGGGCATAAGAATAGTATAGGTAGGCCTTAACGTATGAGTGATCACTTCGCAACCATTCAAAGTTAGAACTGATCTCTCCAGAGGTACTTATGACCTAGTTCTGAAGTTCGGCAATTTACAGCCATTTTGCTGGGTCCCACGATCACATGACCACGTTTTATGACATCCTCGCCAAAAATTGGCATTTACTTCCAGTTTTCAGCAAAACTGACTCTTAGCAAACAATTGGTTCGCTTAATGACCACCCCAGCGTTTGCTTTACAAACACAGCATTTGCTTAATGAGCACCACAATACAAGGTCATAAAAATAGATTGGATGTGTGACAACCTGCTTTATGACTATCATAACTCATGACCACAATGGGCGAGCTCCATTACTGTCATAAGTCGAGGACTCCCTGTAAGCTGTGTAGTCTAAGAGCGTATAAGGCAGGGGTAGGCAACCTTGGCTCTTTTATGACTCATGGACTTCAACTCCTAGAATTCTGGGTCATAAAAGAGTCATAAAAGAGCCAAGGTTGCTTACCCTTGGTATAAGAAAACAGGTCCATTGTAGCAAATGTATCGCAACCACTAGGACAGTGGTGGCAAACCTATGGCACGGGTGCCAGAGGTGGCACTCAGAGCCCTCTATGTGGGCACGCGTGCCGTCGCCCCAGTCCTAGGCCTTCAGCTGGGTTTTATAAAACCTTTTCGCTTTAGGCCTCTGCCGCCAGGTGCAAAAAAAAAAAGGTTCAACCAATCAGTCAATTTCAATTTCTTGCAGGGGGGGGGAAAAGATCTTGCAAAGTTGGAATTGATTGATTGAACTTTTTAGTCCCACCCAGTCTGCCATTACCACCGCAGCCACGCCCATCCAGTGGGCCACACCCACTCAGTGGGCCACACCCACCCGGCACCCAATGATGCATAAGTGGGTTTTGGGTTACAGTTTGGGCACTTGGTCTCTAAAAGGTTCGCCATCACTGCACTAGGAGAAAGAACTCTGCATATTTTGCGGTATGTTCTGGTTTGAATTACAAGTAGTGGGGATTCGTACCAATAAAGGAGAATTGGTAGCGATTAGTAATCTTGACACCACCCTCAACTGCACACGGAGAGTCCCCTGAACAGTTCTCCGACTGTTTATAAAGTTGGGGAAGAGTATTATAATAATATGTGCTATTTTATGTAAAATAAGCAGTGTAGGATAAAAATCGGATAAAAGCAGCTGAAGGGGTAACTTTGCCAGAACTGCGCTAAACAAACTTCTCCTCTAATAGGTCATCAAGAAAGCAAACGACATCCTGAACGGAATCAGCAGTTCTTCTGTATGTACTGAAGTCATCCAGTCTGTGCAGGGCATGGAATATTTATTAGGTATCTTTTTATTTGATTTCATATCTCGGTAACACAATTGCAGGTAGTCCTTGACTTATGACCAGTTGCTTAAGAACCATTTGGAGTTGCAACAGCCAAACACACATTTACCACACACATGATCTCATTTGGGGCACTTGGCGCCCGGCTCACCTTGATGGCCATTTGCAGCATCCCACAGTTAGGTGATCACAATTTGTGGCTTTTTTTTTTCCTGGTTTCTGGCATTTACTTCTAGTTTCTGGCCAAAAAAAAAAACCACCTGTTGGGAAAACGGATTCTCTTTAACTACCATGGTGTTTGCTTAACAGCCATGATAGTAAATAGCTTCAAATCTGGTCACATGATGCCTCAATTTCTGAGGGCTGCAACTGTAATTCCGAGCTCAATTATGGTCGTAAGTCGAGAACAACCTGTAACATGAATTAAGTTTCCAGGTACTTGTGGGGATGGGTGGCAGGGAAGAAGGGAGATATCTCTGTCATGGTTCCGATAGATGAAACTCTTCAAAAGAACTTCAAGGCATTGTTTACCTTAAAGGATCTTTTATTCAAGTAACATAATATTGGCACTTACATAATCGAAGCCAAAAACTGAATTCCCCTCCCCTGGGCACATAGTATCAAAGCACAATTCCCTCCTCCAATTAACAGTCATAAATCACATTCCCCAATTAGCTTGAAGCACGGGCTTCCTCTCCAGTTCTCCAGCCCGCCAATTCCTTATCAGCTCTGGTTACAATAACCTTGTTTCTCACACTAGGTTTAGTGTTGTTATGTCTAGCTGGACTCTCCTCCTAGTATCATCTAACTCTGAAAGCAAAAGGGAAAAATGGCCACATTTCCATCTGTTGTCAATGCAAAAACATCCGATGTTAGCAGTGTTGACAATCTCCTTATAGGTAGAGGTCCCCCACCTTAGCAACTTTACGGTTTGTGGGCTTCAATTCCAGAATTCCTCAGCCAGCAGGAGCATTCTGGGAGTTGAAGCCCACTTAGTCATAAAGTTGCCAAGGTTGGAGACCCCTACTTATGGGCGTACATTTCTAGAACAGTGACTAGAGAGGCAAATTTTTTTTCCCTACAATTTTAAATCTCACCCAAGCTATACACAAATTCTTGTTTTTCTGCCTACTTTCCTTTGAAACATTGCTGTGTCAAGCAAAATTCCTTTTGTAAATCATGACATTTAAAAAATAATAATAATAATTGTGTTGCTTTGGTCAATGACCTAGCTCAGGGGTTCTCAATCTTGGCAACTTTAAGACTTGTGGACTTCAACTCCCAGAATTCAACTCCACAAGTCTTAAAGTTGCCAAGGTAGAGGACCCCTGACTTAGCTCATCCAGGGATGGACACACAAGTGGGAATCAAAAGTCCTCAAAATCAAGATGGTAGCAAAGACTCTCTCTTAAGACTCCAGAAATCTATCTCTGTCCAGGCAAACATTAATGCTCTACTTACATGATATGTTTAACTGAATCATTGAGGTGGGGAGTAGATATCCTGTGTGAACCATCTGTCCCTTCCAACTCTTCCATGGAAATCAAACCAGGGATCTAAGAGACTCCCAGTTGAGCAGTTCACCAATGAGTTGATTGGGTTCTTTCTCTTCCATATGATAGAGAGGAAGTCCTAGAGGAGTCCTCCCTGCAAAGATAGTGCTTCTCTTGGCTATTCATCTCTGTGGCTCTTTTTCCACCACCCTCACCTTGGCCACCTAAGTTTTAAAGGAGACTGGAAGGATGAGGAGGGACAGCTTCCTCACTATCTCAGTTTAGAAGCAATGTGAGAAATTGACGCCTGTGCAAAGATGGTGAACATATTGCACAAGTGCAGACAGTCCTCAACGTACGACCACAATTAAGTTAATTTTTTTTGGTTTTTAGGCAAGACAGTTGTTAAAGTGAATTTTGCCCCGTTTTACAACCTTCCTTGCCTCAATTGTTAAGTGGATCACTGCAGTCGTTAAGTTAGTAACACGGTTGTGAAGTGAACCTGGCTTCCCCCTTGATTTTGCTTGTCAGAAGGTTGCAAAATGGGATCATGTGACCCCAGAGACACTGCAACCGTCGTAAATGCAAGTCAGTTGTCAAGCGTCTGAATTTTGATCATGTGACCATCAGGATACCCTAACGGTACAATAAATGGTGAGAAGTCACTTTTTTTCAGTATTGTTGCAACTTCAAATAGTCACTAAATGCATGGTCATAAGTCAAGGACTACCTGTATACACACAAATCGGTGAAGAATACAGACAGTGAGAAATTTCCAGTGTGCAAATTTAGTTTTTGTAAGAACAAGTTAAATTCAGCGCAGCTCTGCTTCCGTCACAGTGCGCTCTGAGCTAAGACTGCAAACACCGTCTGCATCTCCTCTATGAGACAGGTAAATCGATCCTCCTTCGCCCGTATGACCTCTTGGTGTGTCTCTGCTCTTTTTTTTTCAAACTATTCATAGGGGTTGTTGAAGTTTATCGAGTCACGAAGCGAGTGGAGCTGGGCATCAAAGCCACCGCCGTCTGCAGTGAGAAACTCCAGCTGCTCCTGAAGGATATCGATAAAGTGTGGAATAACCTGATCGGATTTATGTCCCTTGCAGCCTTAACGGTAAAGTGTGTTGGAACAATTGCCCGTTTGGCTAGAGGAAATAGGTGGGGCCGGGAGAACGGTTGAATTTTATTTCATCTGATTTCCTTAAACTAATTATGATTACTGTCTGCGTGTAGGTGGCAGCATCTATTTCTCTGAGGCTAATTCCAAATAGCTAAGTAGGGTTGGTCTTGGACAGGGATAGGCAACCTTGGCTCTTTTATGACTCGTGGACTTCAACTCCCAGAATTCCTGAGCCAGCATGGCTCAGCGTGGAAACCTCTCCCTTTCTCCTCAGCATGGCTGGCTCAGGGATTCTGGGAGTTGAAGTCCACGAGTCATAAAAGAGCCAAGGTTGCCTACCACTGATCTAAGTCATTTCTCCATCCCTCTATGGCAGGGGTAGGCAACCTTAGCTCTTTTATGACAATCTCCTGCTTGCTAGCCTGGTGCTTAACCACTAGACCAGGGGTAAGCAACCTTGGACTTCAACTCCCAGAATTCCTGAGCATGGCTCACTTGGAAACCTCTCCCTTTCTCCTCAGCATGGCTGGCTCAGGAATTCTGGGAGTTGAAGTCCACGAGTCATAAAAGAGCCAAGGTTGCCTATCCCTGGCCAAAGAGGCTGTCCTAGATCAACAGTCGAATGGGCTTGATTCTTTGCTCCCCCTGAGAAATGTTAAGATTCTCTTCTTTTCTTCCTGCAGCCTGATGAAAACTCACTGGATTTCTCCTCCTGTATGCTTCGCCCAGGAATTAAAAATGCTCAGGAACTGGCCTGTGGGGTGTGCCTCTTAAATGTGAATTCAAGGAGCAAGGCAAGTAGGGCGGCCATTTTAGTCTCTTCTTCTCCTCACTCTGCAATCTCTCTTTATGTTTTGTTGCCTGGGGTCTTTGTTTACTACACTCGTTTTATAAGGTAGGGGATTCCAAACTTGACAACTTGAAGACCTGTAGACTACAGCTCCTAAGATTGAAGGCTGGCTGGGGAACTCTGGGAGTCGAAGTCCATAAGTCTTAAAGTTGCCAAGTTTGGAGAGCCCTGTCATAAGAGATTGAACAGTACGGTCATGGACTGCATTCATACAGCTAGCTTATAAATTTAAATATATTAAAATAAATTACACTGGTTCTAGAATTAACCGGTTTTGAAGGTTTGCACAAGACCGCAAACTAAATGAATGAAATGGCCACCCTAAACCACCCAAAATATAACCAGGTATTCCATTAACCCAGAGGAGCAGCTTGTGTGAAATTTGTGGCCACTAGATCTATAACTGGCCAGTTGTATAAAATCAGCCAGAGAATTGTAGCGTTGGAAGAGACCCTTGAAGTCATCAAGCCTAATAAGAATAATATGACCCTATCAAACCTTTTTTATTCTTAGCAAATTTTTCCTGACATTCAACCAGAATTTTCCTTTCTGTGACTAAAATCCATTATTCCTTGTCGTTTACTCTGTAACAACAGATTGCAAGCCTTTTTCTGAATGATCCCTTTGTAAGTCCACTACTTTAGCCGTCATTACTCCAAACCAAACATACTAGTATCTATTTCTACGGATTTAGAAAGCTTTCAGTGCCCAAACAGGCAATCTGGGAAGATCCGTGTACGAACCAAAATATGCATGTTTTGGATGTTTGGTTTTGGTTACAGGCCAAAATGTGAATTTGGAACCGAAGTGATTTGTAGGGAGGCAGAAGAGTGCGCAGGTGAAGAAGGGAAGGCAGTAGAAAGAGTGTTGTTTTTATTCAATGTTATTCATTTATTTATTTTAATTGATTCTTAAATTCAATTTAATCTTTGCTGTTATTGTACATTGTCCAAAATCACCTTGCATGCGATAAGTGGTCCTATCAATTTGATAAATGAAAATCTATCTTCCTTCCTTCCTCCTTCCTTCCTTCCTTCCTTCCTTCCTTTCTTTCTTTCTCTTTCTTTCTTTCTTTCTTTCAATCTTTCTTTCTTTCATTCTTTCTTTCAATCTTTCTTTCATTCTTTCTTTCAATCTTTCTTTCTTTCTTTCTTTCTTTCTGTCTACATTTATATGAATGAAATGAAATGAAATGAATGAATATAGAAGAAGAAGACAGGCCAGTGGGAAATATCACTCTGGAAGATGGTTTAGCAATTCCTGATGACCAGTAATGGAGAATATTTGTAGCTCAGGGTTGAAATGAGGATCCTTGGTGCTCCCTGAGGTAGCACCAAGGACTCCTCAATTGCCGATGAGACCATCAAAGTGAGGAGGAAATAGACCAGGATGGTGGCTAGACCAAGGCAGTGGACAGGCTGATGAGAACTGCTGCAATGAGATAGCCGCAGTGGCAAAGAAAGAAGGGAAGCAAAGCAAAGGCAGCACAAGAAGGAATGGATGGAAACTAATCAAGGAAAGGACCAACCTAGAACTAAGGAGAAATGTCCTAACAGAACAATTAACCAGTGGAACGACTTGCCTCTAGAAGTTGTGGGTTCTCCATCACTGGAGGTTTTTAAGAAGAGACTGGACAGCCGCGTTCTGGAATGGTAGGGTTTCCTGTTTGAGCAGGAGGACTAGAAGACCTCCAAGATCCCTTCCAACTTTGTTATTCTGCCTGGAGAATGTCCGTGATGGGCAGTCTGGTGCCCAGGCTCTGCCAGGGAGGGGAGGCCTACATATCAGCCTTGCCCCAGCCTCCTATACATAAAAAAAAATCATCTCAGAAACTTTACAGATTTTGTTGCAACCAAAACCAGAACATCCCAAGTATGGCTTCTGCCAAACCAGGGCAGATCCAAAAGAGTTGGCAGAAATTTGGAATATGATTTTTTTTTTTGGGGGGGGGGGGGTTTCAAACCAAAAATATATTCCTGTTTCACATACACCCCTCTTCTCATTTTTTTGTTCGCGAGATTGAACTTTGACTCCTCTGGTTATCCTCACTGTGCTTTTTTGCCGTCGTTTTAAGTTTTTCAGAATCTTTCTTAGGAATGAAGTTCCCCAAACTGGACACAGTTTGCAGGACACATTTGCAAAATATAGCAAAACAATGATTGTCTATCATTTGGAAATGACATTTTTGATGGCAGACTGAAAATTGCATTTGCCATTTTAGCAGTCACACTATACAACTGTCTTATGTTAAGCTTGTCCAGTTCATATAAATCAGTGTTTCTCAACCTTGACAATTTTAAGGCATGTGGACTTCAACTTCCAGAATTCCACAGCCAGCATTGCTGGCTGTGGAATTCTGGGAGTTGAAGTCCACATGCCTTAAAATTGTCCAGGTTGAGAAACACTGATATAAATTGATGTTTCTCAACCTTGGCAGCATGTCTGGACTTCAACTCCCAGAATTCCCCAGTTAGCAATGCTGACTGGGGAATTCTGGGAGTTGAAGTCCTCACATCTTCAAGTTGCCAAGGATGAGCAACACTGACATAAAGCATTGCCAAGCCAGGTTTCTCCCATCCTACGGTTTGGGCATTTGATTTCTTTTTCCTAACTGAAGAAATGACCCATTTGTCTTTATTAAAATTCATTGTTATTTTTAATCCGCTTCTCAACCATCAAAGCTTTTATTTGTGTTTTCTATCATAGTAGTTAACCTACCCAGTTTCTGCAGTTAGATAAGTATTCCCTCCACCTTTTCTTCCAAGTCATTATTAAACATGTTGTAAAGTAGCAGATCCAGGATTGAACCTTGTGGCCCAATCCCTAAATCACTTCTAGTTTCACAAGGAACAATTGAAAATTCTTCGTGAACTTGCCTGCCACTTCCGTGACCCGGGTACCAACAGGCGGTCCATGGCCCATGGATCGGGGACCCCTGACTTAACAGACTTGCCTTTTAACCCACATTTAACTATCTTGCTAATGTGAATGTCTTAGCGTTCTCTGTCAAATGAATGGCTAAGTCAAGATATATTACATTCACAGTGTTCCCACCGTCTACGTAGGATGTTTTGTGACTAAACCATGAAATGAGATGACTCTGACAAACCTTTGAGACAGCAGGCATTTCCCTCAAGCTAACCAAGTTATAGCAAACTTCTCACCAGTTAGAGGATCTGAGTTTTGTAGTATGGGAAGGATTTGTGTGGGGTGGGGGGATTTACAGACATTCCACATAGGGAGGGCTTCTCGGAAACTGAGGCTGTGCAATTTCCTCAGTGACTGTAGGAAAAAGCTGATATCCATGGAATCTAGGATAAGCTAGATTTGACTTAGCATGTCTGCTTAGCGTGGCAAGATGAAAGAAGGTATAGATTGGCAATCTCCAGACCTTGACCATCAGCGGGATGAAGCGTCACGGCATGGAGCAGAGAACTCAACTCCCGTGTTTTGGCGATGGTGTTGCTGACATTTCTTTTGGTTTTCGACATTGTTTTCAGAAAGAAGAAATGCCTCTGGAAGAACATCCTAGAGAAGTACGAATTCATAAACCTCGTCCGTTTTTCCTCCCCCCCTACACTCTTTTATTGTTTTTTTTTTTTTAACTGTGTGTCCCAAACAAGATATTGGCGTCGCTTTGGGCCATTGTTCTCCAACCACAATCTCTGCAACTCCCCTTTTGTCTAACCTTCCAATTTTAATCGACTAACATAGCACACCGCCCAAGTCAAAGTCCCTTCCTTCTCTTGGTCTTGTTAGCATGCTGGTTACGTTGTGAGTCGCTTGCTTTGTGCTGGTGTCCCTCGTGTGGTGACTGTGGAGTTGTCAGTTCTGTAGTCTGTCAGTTCTGTAATCTGTGTTATTGGTACTTATGTGTATTAAGGCATTTGAGCTTCTTGGTGGCTCCTTATCACCCAAAGAAAGATGGATAGAAATTTCTGTTCTTTGTTTCTTCGTTAAGAATCTAAATTCTCAGTGTTCTTGCACTGTTCCTATGGACCTTTATAAGTAGTCCTCGACTTATGACTGCCCACTTAGCAACTGTTTTGAAGTTACGGCAGATTTACCTTTGATCTACAGGAAGTCCTCGACTTACAACCATTCATTTAGTGACCATTGGAAGTTGCAGTGGCCCTGAAAAAAGTGACTTATGGCCATTTTTCACATTAACAACCGTTGCTGCACCCCCATGGTCACGTGATCAAAATCCGGACGCTTTGCAACTGGTTCATATTTATGACGGTTGCGGTGTCCCGGGGTCACGTGATCCCCCTTTTGCAACCCTCTCACAAGTAGAGTCAATGGGGAAGCCAGATTCACTTAACAACTAGAATCTAGACTAGAATAGAACTGGAAGGGACCTTGGAGGTCTTTTAGTCCAGCCCCCTGCTGAAGCAGGAGAACCTATACCGTCTCAGACAGGTGTTAGTAACTGTGTTGCTTACTTAACAACTGCAGTGATTCATTTAACAACTCTGGCAAGAAAGGTCATAAAATGGGCCCAACCCCACTTAACAACTGCTTTTGTTGCTTAGCGGTGGAAATTCTGATCGTAAGTCGAGGTCTATCTGTCCACCTAGAAGCCAGGTGCAAAGTTCCAGTACGTGAACATGCATTTAATTCAACCCACCCTGGGACATTCTACCAGTTTTTCTGGTCTCGTTCCATTTTGGCAGATGATAGATAACTGGGCAATCAATAATAATAACCTGCATTTGTCAGGATTAGAAAAAGTAGGCCTTGCACGGTGGACTAGTCAGCAAAACTAACATTGTTTGTGTAGAAAATTTAAGAAAAGGAGAAGAACTTTGCCTGACATCACGAAACCGAAAAGATTGCAGGGCAGTGATCACATTTTACTAGGGAGAACCCCCAGGGTCTGGCAAGGTGTATCTTCAGATCTGCCCTATCCCTCTTTGTCTTCCCAGTTTTACAAATAGTCCTTGACTTTACTACCACAATTAGGGCCAAAAGTTCCGTTGCTAAGCACAGCAAGAGTGAAGTGAGTTTTGCCCGATTTTACGATCTTTTGGCCCTGTCTCTTAAGTGAATGACAGCAATTGTTAAGCGAAACATGCAGTTGTTAAGCAAATCCATCTTCCCCCATTGACTTTGCTTCTTGAAAGCTAGCTCGGAAAGCCACAAATGGCGGTCACCTATCTCTGGGATGCTGCAACCACTGTAAGTACATGCTGGTTGCCAAACACCCAGATTTTTGATCATATGACCGTGGAGATGGTGCAGCGGTCGTAAGTGTGAGGATTGGGTGTAAATCACCTTTTTCAGTACCATTGTAACTTTAAACCAGTGATGGTGAACCTTTTAGAGACTGAGTGCCCAAACTGCAACCCAAAACCCACTTATTTATTGCCGGGTGCCAGGTGGGCGTGGTGTACTGGGTGGGCGTGGCTGTGATGGTCATGGCAGATTGGATCGGTGTGGCCAAAGTGGGTGTGATCACCTCAATGTTGCTCGTGGGGAGGGATGCCTGTGGGGGCCAGACAGGGTTGGGGGAGATCCAGGGGGTCTCTGGCAAGTGGGCAGGAGACTCGTCCTGCGGGGTGAGGCAAGGTAAGGCAGGGATGCCATTGTCACAGAGCAAGGTGGGGCGTGGGGCAGGGGCCGGACGGCTGCTGCCTGACGCCATCGGCCCCTGCACACAGAGGCCAGCGAGCACATGGGTGCTGGGATGCATCCAGCCACATGGGACCTCAGCGAGTTAGCGGGCGGCTGGTTGAAGAGGGACAGTTGTCATCTCTGGGGCATGGTGCGCGTGCCCACAGAGAGGGCTCTGAGTGCCTCCTCTGGCACGCGTGCCATAGGTTCACCACCACTGCTTTAAACAGTTGATAAACGAATGGCTGTAAATCAGGGACAACCTGCATTTAATAGAGCATCTCTGGATTCAACTTGGATGACATGCCACTGCAGTTTGGAACCACGCTTGCTACACTTCATCCCTGAGTTTGAGTTAGGTTCATTTAGGTTAGACCAGCATTTCCCCAAACCACAATGTCAAAAAGATGCTGAGACTCTAGAAAGAGGGCAGAGAAGAGCAACAAAGATGATTAGGGGACTGGAGGCTAAAACATACAAGGAACAGTTGCTGGAATTGGGTCTGTCTAGTTTAATGAAGAGAAGGACGAGGGGGGACATGATAGCAGTGTTCCAATATCTCAGACGTTACCACAAAGATGAGGGAGTCAAGCTATTCGCCAAAGCACTTGTGGGCAGGACAAGAAGCAATGGATGGAAACTAATCAAGGAGAGAAGCAACCTAGAACTAAGGAGAAACTTCCTGATAGTTAGAATAATTAACCAGTGAAACAACCTGCCTCCAGAAGTTGTGAATGCTTCAACACTGTAATTCTTTAAGAAGAGACTGGACAGCCATTTGTCTGAATAAGGTTTCCTGCCTGAGCAGGGGATTGGACTGGAAGACCTCCAAGACCCCTTCCAACAATGTTATTCTAGTCTATTCAAAGCCCCGGCCACTTCAAAATGTATGTCCTTCAATTCCCATAATTCTCATCAATGGGTACCCCAGCTGTGGAATCCTGGGATTTGAAGTTTACACATTTAGAAGTGGCCAGGTTCAGGAAAAACTAGGTAGACCCTTTCTCAAAAGAGCACCTTGACAGAAAGTTTGGAAAGCCCAAAAGCAGTCAGCCCTTCCTTTGAGGTCAACGAGCCCAAACGCACCACGCAGTGTTTCTCACGTCTTGTTCTTGCTCTCCTTCTCTCTAGGCCTTCAACTCGGAGACGGACAGCTTCAAGCTTGCCTACGGAGGGCATCAGTACCACGCCAGCTGTGCTAACTTCTGGATCAATTGCGTAGAGCCCAAACCTCCAGGCCTTCTGTTGCCCGACCTCCTTTAAGCAGACTGCTCTCGGCCAATCTTTGGTCTTCCCCAGGGAGCCATTCCCGGAGGGAGGGGGGAACTGGGCGCGCGAGAAACCCATGTGAAACGGTGCTGGTGCTTTAGGGTGCTTCGAAAACGTTCATCCTGGACTAGCTGTTCTCATGTGAAGGGTAAATACCACTGGTGTTTTTTTTTTAATCTGCAAGAGCCTCGCGAAGACCTTGGCGAGGATTTGGAGATACACCCTGATATTTTTTGGGGGGGGGGAATTAAGGCACTAGGGCAGGGGTCCTCAAGCTTGACAATTTTAAGACTTGTGGAATTCTGGGAGTTGAAGTCCACAAGTCTTAAAGTTGCCAAGCTTGAGGACCCCTGCACTAAGGCACAAATGCCTTCTTGAGCAGAACCAGACTCGTCCCGCCTTTCAGATGTGGCAAAGTGCTGGTTCTTTTTGCCGAAGCTCGTGATAGTTTCCTCGGAGGAGTAACTTGCATTTCAAACATTTGCAAGGCCCGAAGGGGTGAGGAGGCTTCACTTGCTTTTTAATGTGCATGCCCTTTTAAAACCCCAATAACCCCTGCGGCTTTTCCCTAATTTTCTCCCGAAAAGGAACTTTCCACTTTGTAAGTTTCCTAAAGATTTATCGTTGCTCGACCTAAATGATCCCTTTTAAAGAAATCCTCCATAATGGGCATACATACCTGTGCTGACACGCATATGCCCTTTCATCCCCATCCGTGTCTGTCTCTTCCCCACCCAATCCTGCCTTGTAACGAGACCCCACGTTAGGTGAAGAGATCCAGTTATACTTGACCGAATGCAACCTGGCCTTCCGTCCTTTTGACCCTTCTTCAGAACTATTGTTTCCTGGCACCTTAAAACGAGTTTACATTTATCGCAATGCATGCTCTTATGTTGGTCTGCTGTCCCTCGTGGTTTTGCAGTAGAAAAAGTACAAATGGGAAGTGGACCGTGGAAGCAGAGAATCCTCTATTTCATGAGTGTTGGACCTTGTCGACTTGCTGGCTGGGGAATTCTGGGAGATGAAGTTCAGAAGTCTTCAGGCTGACGAGGTTCAGCACCCCTGTCCCAGTTATATGTTTTCTTTTTAATGGCATTAACACTGTACAAGTTGGTTAGTGGCCAAAGAGGAGTAGCAGAGAGCACTCATTCGGCAAGCTTATTGTGATGCATCATCAGATCATGGAGGCCTAGGGAATCCTCTTCGCTCCGCTTCTAAGCAGAAGTTGATATTTTGATTGCCACCGAGACAGGACTGTGATCAAAGCCACCAGGGCTGTTGCAAAGCTATACACTCAGCCTCTTTCCCCATTCCCTGTTTTCAGCTTGTGAGCCACTGTGCTCAGTTTGAACAGAGCTTTTTTTAAACATCAGGTTTAATGAAGCAAGAGTGGTAATTATATGCTCCCCCCGATTAGAAATGAGCATACAGGTTGAAAATGCTTTGATCCGAGGCGTTGGTCAGAGATAAACTTTGCTTTTTTTTTTTCTCCACTATTTGACATATCCAAGTCATAGCTGGCAACTAGACGGTGTTCTCTGTTTTGACCCAAAACATGCAACGGCCAAGCTCAATCTTTCTGCCATTGTTTGCTGCCATGATGATCTTCCTATTCTCTGCTTAGTGGGAGTTTTCTCTGCAGGCAGCTTTGAAAGAGCCCTCCTGCAATATCCCAGGACTACCTTTCCCCCACCTTGAGAATAGGGCTTGCCGAAACAGCCTCTGTGCTGGTGCATGGCGGACAGACCTCTCAGGGTGCAGAGGTCCTTTAGGACAGGTCATCAACCTTGGCAAGCTGGCTGAGGAATTCTGGGAGTTGAAGTCCACAAGTCTTAAAGTTGCCAAGGTTGACGACCTCTGCTTTAGGAGACCCCTGGAACGGTTGACCAGGCGCAAGTCTAGGTGTCCCCAGGGCAGTGCTTCAGAGCAGAGGAGAAAAGCCTGGCAATCAAAGATATCTACATGCGCGCGCGCGCACACACACACACACACACACACACACACACACACACACCCCTCACAGGTTATAAAAACAGGAAAAGCCAAAGGAGCAAATAACCCAGGAAGAGATTGCAGTATGTGATTGTGATACTGTTTTTCTTTCTCCCTTCTTTTCTTCCCTCTTCTTTTTCCCTTCCTTTTTTCTCTTTTCCTTTCCTTACTTTCCTACCTTCCATCCTTTCCTTCCTTCCTTCCTTCCTTCCTTCCTTCCTTCCTTCCTTCCTTCCTTCCTTCCTTCCTATTCTCACCATAAGCCGATCAAGAATCTCTTTTTCCACTTCACTTCCACATGTCTGGATATTTAGCAGGCTTGGTTGGAGATAGCTTCTCTAAGCCCTTTGGCGGTTCAGACTACAGACTTCTCATTTGGCACGGGGTCCTCCTCCTGTGGTGGCCGTAGCCACATTTCCCAGAGCAAAAGGAGACCATCTTCTATGTAATAAAACCCTAATTCTCCTAAGGTCACACAGTAGTTGAGTTTTGCTTCACTTCGACAAATCTCTGCATAGTATAATCAATTTCCCTGTATGTAGACCAGGGTTTTTCAACCTTGGCAGCTTGAAGATGGGTGGACTTCAAGCAAGGCCAACTGGGGAATTATGGGAGTTGAAGTCCATCCATCTTTAAGCCGCCAAGCTTGATGTAGATCAGGGGTCTTCAAACTTGGCCCTTTTATGACTTGCGGACTTCAACTCCCAGAATTCCTCAGGCAGCATGCCTGGCTGAGGAATCCTGGGAGTTGAAGTCCGCAAGTGATGGTACTACATCACCGCCACACGATGATGGAGGCTAAAAATAACAAAGCACCACCCTAGCTGGAATTGATTGTCCATCTTTCTAATCAAATCTGGTGACTCAGATTCTTGCTTGGTGCTGTAGGACAAAGAGTCCTCAGAAATGTCTCACAGCTGAGCCAACATCCACCCCACCCCTTAAAGGCATTCACTACATCCTGACAGGTTCATTCAGTAATAAACTTGGGTCTTCAACGCTGAGGGAAATGGTGAAATCCCTTGAATTCAGATATTAATAGATGTAGCCAGCCTATATTCCAACTAGAGGGAAAAAAATAGCTCCACATTTGCTGAAATGTACCAATTTGCAGCTAATGGAGAAAGGAAGGGTTGCAATAATGAGCATTTCTCTGAGACTGAGAACAGCTGAAGCTGGTTTAAGTCCTAGCTGCGATGATCAAGAAGGCTGTTCCAAGTTGGTCTTTGATTTCTAGCAAGGCCCTTTCCTCTAGGTTAGTGTTTTTTTTTCCCAAACCTGGGCACTTTAAGATGTGTGGACTTTAAATTCCAGAATTCTCCAGCCAACCGTGCTGGCTGGAGAATTGAAGTCCCCCCATCTTAAAAGTGCCCAGGTTTGAAAAACCCTAATCCAGGGGTAGGCAACCTTGGCTCTTTTATGACTTGCGGACTTCAACTCCCAGAATTCCTGAGCCAACTATGCTGAGGAGAAAGGGAGAGGTTTCCATGCTGAGCCATGCTGGCTCAGGAATTCTGGGAGTTGAAGTCCACGAGTCATAAAACAGCCAAGGTTGCCTACCCCTGCCCTAATTCATTTTATGGCCTGCATGAATAGCAGAGAGGGTAATAGAATTTGGGATATTCCAATTGAATTAACAGACACATTTATTGAAACTGATGGGGTGAATGTCCCAGACAGGTAATAAGCAATGAAACCTGCCAACTCGCTTCCATGATTCATAGCAAAACATCTCCCAAAGAAAAACAAGAATGTAAAAAAAAAAAAGTCATGAATGTAATAGAACAAAACACCGTTTTTTCTTTGGGGAGTGCAACCCCCCCACTCAATTTTTTTCAAGCTGTTGCACTGGACATGGCCTCTTCTATTAATACAGCCACCCTCATTCACTACTTTTGTCAGTCAAGCCCCCCCACCTTTCCATCCCGTGTCCTTGGAAACTGTATCCAAGGTTACAGCGGTTTTTTGCAGACTTCATTATGATGTTCTCCTTTTTTCCTTGCTTCAAATCTAGGTTTGCAGCTGGGGAAAGAGTGGCTTAGTTTGTTTGTTTGTTTCTTAAACCCAGTGTTTGTTTTTGTACTTTTACCAAATTATTTTGCTTAAACATACACCCCATTTGGGGGTGAAGAAAGCAAAAGCCCCCCTTGATCCACAGTGATTGCTTGCTTTTTTTTTTTGGTTATGTATTTCCTGCCCTATCTATAGCCAGTTTACAATCTGCATCTATCCTTCACTTCCATTCTCTTTGGGCACCACTGTTCCCCAATTTCCTTGACTCCATCTGAACCCCAGCCTAATTTCTTAAAGAATCACTGGAGTCAAATGTGTTTGTTGTAGCCTAATTTTGGGGTGGCGGGGAAAATCAAGCTAGTTTTAAGCCTCAGTTGCATTCCTGCATTAAAGGACAAGCTTCCTATTGGATCATTAGGCTTCCCTGGTCCAAACTTGAAAGGCTAGAAAAGGGGTACCGAACCCCAATAGCCTGCAGCCCACACAGAAAGGCCAGCTGCTTGGGAACTAACACATTTCCCATGCATTGTAAACATTGGAGCACATTGTGTACCTTTTTTGCTGATGCTGATGCCTTGTGGGCCTTCCAGGTGGACCCTGGCCTTTCTCACTCCTACGGCAGAAATGGAAGAAAATCTACTAGGCCCTAGTAGATTTCCTTCCATTTCTGCCGTAGGAGTGAGAGAAGGCAGCCTAACTGGAATGACGCCCAACTCTACTGGAAAAACAACTGCATTTTTTCTGCATTTAAATCCGTGCCATTCAGAACAATGCAAGAAGCTGTACTCATGGAATCCTTGTTCATCTTAAAGTTGGTTTTACTTTGGGTTGATCCCCTATTTTCTCATGTGTTTCAGGATTTTCAACACATTGAGTAACACCGAGTCAGAAGGGAGAAATTAATGCTTCCTTAGTGAGCCTTGTAGCAAATAACAAAAGGGCAAAAGAGACTAGAAACTTCAAACTCTCTGTACATTCAATTTCTATTCACTGTGTGCAAACAGCACCACTGCAGAATTCAGTCTCAAGTGGATGTCTCTTCCCTAAAGCAAATTGAAATAAAGCTGCTATTTGTCTTTGACCAGTAGTGATCATAGGTTCCCTGCCTCTGTTATTTAATTTTCTTTTTGGAGACTTTTTTTTTTAAAAAAAAAAACTTGCTTGAAAAGAACGGCTGCATCCATCTCGAGAGAACTCTTTAACAATTCTGTTCCTTTGGTAACCATCTCAGATGACCCCCCCCCCCAAATGGTGTTTGTGGTTGGCATGGTTGTGATGTGATGTCTCGCTTGAACTTTGCTATGCGGTGGTGTTGATACTTTTAAAAACCGATAATGATTGTTTTTATTTATTAACTATTTATATCTACATGCACAGACATGTATAAGTAAAATAAGACGTGCACGGAGGGAAATACACTCTCTTTCATGACCTATTATGCTGTATTTGATCCCTGTTAAATTTTCTGACGCCTAATAAAATGCCGTTTCCTCTCTGTGTCTCCTCTTTCTTCTCCTTCACGGTGGGTGAGCTGCTGGAAGAGAAGTCGATGCTGGCACTCAGCCAAACATCACCTCCTCGGATGGGGACAATCTGCATCTTGAGTACCAGGTGTTGGAATCAAAAGAACAAAGCTTGTTTTTTTTAACGCTCCGAAAACCTGATGTCTCTGCATTGGGTCTCCAGTTTGGTTTTTGCAGCCCACAACGAAGTCAGTTGATGTAGTGGTTCAGGTCTGGGTTAGAAACCAGGAGAAGACGAGTTCTAGTGTCGCCTATTGCATGAAGCCAGCTGAGTAACCTTGGACCAGGCAAGTTTGATTAGTGGGCAGGCATCGATACAAACCCACATGCAGAGAGGTTGATGGGTAAGCATAGATCAAGGGTCTCCAAGCTTGGCAAATTTTAAGACTCGTGGACATCAACTCCCAGATTTCGTCAGCTGGAGCTGAAGTCCACCAGTCTTCAAAGCTGTGTTGCCAAACACCCAAAGTGCAGTCACATAACCACAATAGGGAGGGCGACCATTTGAACTTTGGACGCAGATCATAAATCACCTTTGTTTAGGTATATCATAAATTCAAATGGTCGCTAAGTGACCAGTCATAAATCAAGAACCACCTGTACTTTCCCTTTTTTCTCCCAAGCCCCAGCCCATGGTGATCAACAATGGATTAGCGCTTATGCATAGAGCATAAAAATGCATGCATAACTCAATTGGACTGAACATCTCTGCTCATGTTCCATTTTCCGGCAACACCACAACATTTTTGTCCCTCTTTCCTACAACTCTCTGTAACTGGTGCTAGAGACCATTTGAAATGATTAGTTTTATTGCTGGATCCTGTACAGCAATGTTTCTCTAACCTTGAAAGAGACGTGGACTTCAATTTAAGAGGTGTGGACTTCAATTCCCAGAATTCCCCAGCCAGCACAACTAGCTGGGGAATTCTGGGAGTTGAAGTCCACATATCTTAAATTGGCTAACGTTGAGAAACACTGCTATACAATATCTGCATATTCAGGTTTCTTAGTTGGGATCTGCAAAGAACTATGGCTAAATGCCCAAATTTGCAGAAAGCGGCTTGATTCCATTTTGAACCAAACAGGAGTTGTGACGGCATTTGTTCACTGAAGAAGCTGTCAAAACGTACTATTATTCTAGGCAGGGTATCCTAACTTTTACAAGCAACTGGAAAGGTTGAGTTCCTGATGGAAGCTTGCTGTTCAAAAATTGAATTGCAAGAATCTATTGTGAATCTAGTATGGAAGTGCCAAAAAAAAAAAAAAACCATGCCAAATATCTGTAGTTGCTTGCTGGCAGACAGGAAGGCGGTGCAGAGAGTGGTGAGGACAGCAGAAAAGATCATTGGCAGCTCCCTCCCTCCCATCCAGGACATAGCACAGAAGCGCTGCTTGAGCAGGGTCCGTAAGATTATCTGGGACGCTTCACATCCTCTTCACGACCTGTTTTCCTTGTTCCCTTCTGGGAGGAGGGGGCTCTGTGGTATCCAAAGCAGAACATCCAGATTCAGCCATAGTTTCATTCCATATAGCATTAACCTTGCGAACTCTCAAGCTTCCTCCTTCCCTTATATATTCAAGATGGACAGTATTTAATATTATTTGCTACATATATGTAGGGATGTGGGTCTATACATATGTTGTTTGTAGTATGTCTAGGTGTGTGTCATGTATGTGTTTCACTTTGAGAGTGGGCAACTAAATTTCATTTTTGATGTGTGCCGTTGTGCCCACAGTAAAAAAAATGACAATAAAGGTTATCCTATCTAACTTATCTGAAGAATTCTGGGAATTGAAGTCTGCACGTCTTCAAGCTGCAAAGGCTGAGAAACATTGCTCTAAGCAAAATACAGTAAATGCTGTTTTGGACCTTTCATCAAATCTCACTCAGTTCAGTCTATAAGCTTTGATATGCGATATTAAGAGATAAACACAGGTTGGCAGACTCTTAACACAGACTCTGAAGAGCTTTACAGCTTCACAGCTGGCACTGCCCAAGTGTTGACAGCAGCAGGCAGGAATAGAGGGGAACGAAAGTCTGTAAAGGCAACACAATCATTTGGGCTTACAATACCCTTCCTCAATAGGTGGCTTTACTCAACTAGAATTACCAAGAGTATCGCAAATCTAGCAGCTGCATTCACTCAACAAGCGTAACTGGGTTAGTGTTCATCTTGGGTAGCTGTTTATCACTTAGTTGTGTGGATACAGCTTGTTTGGTCTGTTTATTGTTCGAGCTCTTGCACAGAAAAACAAGCTCACTTAGTTCTCAGTTTAGGCGTTGTGAAAGAACCTGACCAATCTCTGCTCTTATGGTGCACGACATTAAGTAATGTTAATCCTCTCCAAGTGTATAAAAGTGGTTCTTTCCAATTGAGCAAGGATGCAGAGGTTTTATGTGCACACAAATAGCTTGGCACACACAAACACACACATGGGCATCCTGTTCCATCTGACTTCATTTTTTAAAATTTGTTTTTTTTTAACTACGTATAAATTAGAACATAGAACATAAAATCGTAGGGCTGAAAAAGACCTCAGAGGTCTTCTAATCCACTCCCCACCCTCGCTTAAGGCAGGAGATCTTATAACATCTCAGTCAAATGGTTGTCCAGTCTATTTTTTGAAACCCTCCAGTGATGGAGTACCCACAACTCCAATGATTAATTGTTCTCACTGTCAGGAATTTTTTTCTTACTTCTAGACTGGATCTGTCTTAATGAGCTCCCACCCGTTACTTCTTATCCTACCCTCAGGTGCCATGGAGAATAAGTTGACCATCTCTTCTCTGTAACAGCCCCTTAAATACTGAAAGACAGGTATCTTGTTCCCCCCAACCTTCCTCTTCAATTGGCTGGACATACTTAGTTCCCTCAACCATTCAGTTAAGCCAAGTTCACATTAAGCCAAGTTCTACTCCCTGATCAGCCACAGATGTTCCCTGAGGATTTCTGAGCCAGTCCCTCATTTCAGCTCTAGACAGCAGTGTTTCTCAACCTTGACAATTTTAAGGCATGTGGACTTCAACTCCCAGAATTCCACAGCCAGCATTAGTTCTAGGTTGCTTCTCTCCTTGATTAGTTTCCACCCGTTGCTTCTTGTCCTGCCTTCCTTTGCAAAATAGCTTGACTCCATCTTCTTTGGGGCAGCCCCTGAGATATTGGAACACTGCTATCATGTCCCCCCTTGTCCTTCTCTTCGTTAAACTAGACATACCCAATTTGGACAGCCATTTGTCCAGAATGGTGTAGGACAGTGTTTCTCAACCTTGACAATTTTAAGGCATGTGGACTTCAACTCCCAGAATTCCACAGCCAGCATTGATGGCTGTGGAATTCTGGGAGTTGAAGTCCACATGCCTTAAAATTGTCAAGGTTGAGAAACACTGCCTAGAGCAGTGGTTCTCAACCTTTTTAATGCCGTGACCCCCAACCGGTCGTAAATCGAGGACTACTCAACTGGTCGTAAATTGAGGGTTACTCAACTGGTGCAGCACTGTTTGCAGAATGGGACTTTTGGCGGGCTCAGCAGGGCAGAGACAGCCTGGACAATTCCTATTGGCTTTTGAAAGCCAATAGAATTAGACTCTATTCAAGAGAGTCTATTCTATTGGCTTTCAAAAGCCAATAGAATAAAAGGGAGTAGCACAGCTAAGGAAAAGGGGGGGGGGAATGGCGGACTGCGTTGTTTGGCGACCCCTGTGAAATGGTCGTTCGACCCCAAATGGGGTCCCAACCCACAGGTTGAGAACCACTGGCCTAGAGGCAGTCTGGTGTAGTGGTGAAGGCATTGGACTAAAAGCAAGAAGATCCAGCTTCTAGTATCGCTCAGCCTAGACTTTCCCTCTCTCTCAACCAACTTCCCCAAGGTAGGGACCACTATATTTCCTTGAGTTCCTGGATATAAATCAAATCAAATTGGAAATCAAACTCTTCCCTTGCTAGTGTCACAAGGACCTTCTTGGTAAATAAGACCGCTGGACATGTTCCTACCAGTCCAGAAGGAATGGTCAAGGCAAACCTGCTTACATCTGCAAGCATCACATCCAACTTCTTCGTTTCTTCTTCACTGGAACAAATTGACAGAACTCCAGAGTTCTCCTTGGTTAGCCAATAACTACTGTAGAGTGGTAATCAGATTAATAAGTGAGGCATAAATCCAACTAATGGTGACATTATAGCAGTCTTTCAATATCAAAAGGGCTGCCACAAAGAATCCAAAGCACCTGAAGGCAGAACAAGAAGCAACGGATGGACACTAATCAAGGAACGATCCAACTTAGAATGAAGGAGAAATTTCCTGACAGAACAATTAATCAGTGGAACTAGTTGCCTTCAGAAGATGTGGATGCTCCATCACTGGAGGTTTTTAAGAAGAAGAGATGATAAGTAAGTAAGTAATAGTAGTAAAGTTGGAAGGGAACTTGGAGGTCATCTAGTCCAACCCCCTGCTCAGGCAGGAAACCCTACACCATTTCAGACAAATGGCTCTCCAGTCTCTTCTTAAAAACTTCCAGTGTTGGAGCATTTACTGCTTCTGGAGGCAGGCTGTTCCACTGGTTAATTGTTCTCACTGTCGGGAAGTTTCTCCTTAGTTCTAGGTTGCTTCTCTCCTTGATTAGTTTCCACCCGTTGCTTCTTGTCCTGCCTTCAGGTGCTTTGCAAAATAGCTTGACTCCATCTTCTTTGGGGCAGCCCCTGAGATATTGGAACACTGCTATCATGTCCCCCCTTGTCCTTCTCTTCGTTAAACTAGACATACCCAATTTGGACAGCCGTTTGTCCAGAATGGTGTAGGACAGTGTTTCCCAAACTTGACAATTTTAAGGCATGTGGACTTCAACTCCCAGAATTCCACAGCCAGCGTTGCTGGCTATGGAATTCTGGGAGTTGAAGTCCTCATGCCTTAAAATTGTCAAGTTTGGGAAACACTGGTGTAGGATCATCTCCTTGAGCAGGGAGTTGTACTACAAGACCTCCAAGGTTCCTTCCAACTCTGTTACTCTCTTAATTAATTATAATACATCTGCAATGATGGTGATGACGACAATGGGAATGATAGCGATGAGTCCTACCATACCAAAAATAGAAAATGCCGCCACCCTGGATCAAAACTGCTCTATTTTTACCTGTAACGTACCTTTGATCAGGATTCCAAGCTGTCACCCAGCCATTTCCCATGATTCTCCATGCCATATTCCATTCCCTCTACCCGCATCCCAATTTTGTCCTTTTTTGCTCAATATGGCCAAACATCCCAGTGTCATGGAAAAGCTCACCTTTGACCTGCTCTATTCTATTTTGGGCACCAGGAAATGGGCTTGTTTTAATTAAAAAAACTAATTGGCCAGGCCTTTCTGGATATTGAAAAGATCATTTTAATTATTCTCCCCTTTCTACTGAATGAACGCCATCATTTCCTTCTCTCAGATTTTACTGGGGTGTTTGGTTGAATGACTTTTATTTCATTAACTAGAGGTAGTCCTTGACTTACAACAGTTTGTTTAGTGACTGTTCGAAATTACAACAGCACTGAAAAAAGCAGTTTATGATTGTTTTTCACTCTTACGACTATTGCAGCATCCCTGGTCACGTGATCAAAATTCAGATGTTTGAAAATTGATTCATATTTATGACGGTCACAGTGTCCCGGGATCATGTGATCATCTTTTGCCACCTTCTGACAAAGAAAAGCGATGGGGAAGCTATATTCACTTAACAACTATGTTACTAACTTAACAATTGTAGTGATTCACTTAACAACTGTATCAAAAAGGTCATAAAATGGGGTAAAACTCACTTAACAACTGTCTTGCTTAGCAACAGAAATTTTGGCCTCAACAGTGGTCATAAGTTGAAGACTATCTGTATATCCTGGGAGTTAGCACCTGAGCAGTTCACAAATTTTTTAGATAAAATAAGTCAATAGATTAAAAAAAAAAAACCCTAATGTAAATGCAAATGCAGAAATGGCTAAGAAAGAAAAAAAATACAATGCAATCTTTGAATTGTCTAAATTATTTTATTTGTGGCAGATTGTCCAGCTGACAGTTTCCCTCACCCTGATTTTGCCCCCAAATTGAAATTCAAAAGCTGAGCTATACACTAACAGAAAGGAATGGAAGACCTTTCCGACTAAATACTTATATTTAATTTCCTCTCCATTCGGAGATGGACCATTATTATTATTTTTTTAATCCCACATAGTACAGAGTTATGGTCCCTCCTTCTGAGATGGTTTGCCAAGAAAGCATTTATTACAAGTGCGGAAACTAATCATCAACATCATCATCATCGTTAATAATCCCAATAGCTACCAGGTAGATTGTTCCTTCCCCGTTTTAAGTGATTTGACACCGTGAATTCTTCTCCTTGAAATGAACTTGCAGAGTACAGATGCGAAAGGCAATTTTCCTTACAAAAGTGATTCTGCAGGATGTAGGATTAAGGCCCCCTTGATTAAGAGGTTGCTGGTTTAGTGCTTTGAAGATGCTTCTGAGGTTCAGCTGACCCAAAAGAAGCTGGAGCCATGAGGTGGGATGCTCTCCAAACAGCGGAGGAAGGTCCCTCCAATCTGGCCAGTTTAGGGAGCCTCACCACCATCTGCTCCAGCTTCCTCTCTTCAGATCCCCCAGTAAGGCATAAAGACCCTTCCTCCCCTTACATAAACGTCCGGCATCATCCCATAAGGAGTTTGTACCATTTTCACGCTGTTCCGCCCATACATCTCCCATTCGTAGTCTATCAGCTGCTTCCAGAAACCCACGTTCGGCCGTATCACCGGGCGCCTGGATTTGACCCAGTTGTAGGCCTCGTACAGGGTGACGTTTTGGTACTTCATCAGGTAAGCGATGCACAGCGTGGCCGACCGGCTCACCCCGGCCGCACAGTGGACCAAAGTGACGCCGTTCTTCCGAGCCACGCTTTGGATCTTGTCTGCCACGCCGTCAAAGTAAAGAGAAATGGGGGCGCTGGGTATATCGGCCACGGGCACCCGGACATACTCAAAGTCAGGGAAGTTTTGGTTCGGAAGTTCGACGGTGGCATTGATAATGCAGGTGATCCCGCGGGATAAGAGCAGCTGGCAGTTGGAGGCAACGCTGCCTTTGCTGAGGTACAGGAAGGGGGTGATTTGGGCAATGCCAGCCATCGTCCCTTCGGAGTAAAAGCGAGGTGTTAAGAGAGTTCGTGGGAGCATGTAGTGTCTTCGTGCTGTCATGGGAATGATGCCCGCTGCTCAGATTTTCACGCTAGATGGATTCTCTGGGATCCTTCTTTTTTCGTCTTCTTGGTAATGTGCCACACGTGTTTTCCTTCACCTGCCAAATGCAGAGAAAGACCGACTTTTAGTTTTAGTGGGAAAACAGCCATAGCCTGGTTTATCTGACAATGCTGGCTAATTTTACGATTTATTTACTTCTTTTAAGGTGACCAACTTTTTTACAATGAAAAGGAGGACACAAATAAATTGAAGAAAAAAAATTGTAAATAAAAAAAACATTTTATTCGCTGCAACAATAATACAGACAACTTGCATGTGCAAAGTTTGCCAGCCAGGTGTTTTGGTGTGCTTAGCAGCAATTCCTATTGGCTTTCAAAAACCAATAGGAGTAGCACAGCTCATGCAAAAGTTGAAAAAAAAACATCAAAAAAAGGTGCCGGAACACCAATCTGAGCGTTCTATGAGTGGAAAAAAAGCCCTGCAGATTAGTCTTCAAATATTGAAAAGGAGGACATGAAGAAGGACACTTTTTGAGGGAGGACAGAACTTACAAAAGGAGGACTGTCCTCCCTAAAGGAGGACGGTTGGTCACCTTACTTTATATCCTGCCAGCAGGGAACATAGCCAACACACCTTCCTCTTCCTATTTTCTCCACAACAACAATCCTGTGAGGTGGGCTGGGCTGAGAGAGAATGACAGACCCAAAATCATCTAGTCAGTTTTCATGGTTAAGGGGAGGGGGGGACTAGAACTCACTGCATCCCGATAATTGGACCAAAATCACCAAACCAACTTTCACACCTAGGGTAGGACTAGAACTCCCAGTCTTTTGGTGATTTGCCCAAAGTCACCCAGGTGGCTTTCATGCCTAAGGCAGGACTTGAACTCACAATCTCCTGCTTGCTAGCCTGGTGCTTAACCACTAGACCAGGGGTAAGCAACCTTGGACTTCAACTCCCAGAATTCCTGAGCCAACATGCCTCAGCATGGAAACCTCTCCCTTTCTCCTCAGCATGGCTGGCTCAGGAATTCTGGGAGCTGAAGTCCACGAGTCATAAAAGAGCCAAGGTTGCCTACCCATGCCCTAGACCAAACTGGCTCTCTTGCAAAATATGTAAGGTCCTGTGGCAACTGGAAACGACTGGAAAAGTAGTCCTACTAGAAGCCCACACTTGATCTGGGGTAGTACAGATAGTTCTCACCTTACAACCGGACACTTAGAGGTTCTTCAAAGTTACAACAGACTTCCAAAAGCTACTTGTGACAAACATCCCTGGTCACATGATTACATTTTGGGTGCTTGGCAACCAGCTCACCTGCCATTTACAGTATCCCAGGGTCATGTGACCATAGTTTTCAATGTTTTTCTGCCATTGACTTCTGATTTCTGGCCAAAAAAAGTCCATTGAATAAAATGGATTTGTAAATGACCGTGGTGTTTGCCTAGCAACTGCCACAAAATTGATCGTAAAATCAGGTGTAGTCACATGGTGATCTGCTTAACAACCGCAGTGACTTAAGACCTTAATTCCAGGCTCAGTTATGGTTGTAAGTCAAGGACCACATGTCAAAGTAGAAGGGAACCCATACAGGCTGCAGGTAGTCCTCAACTTACGACCCGCAATTTAGTCCAAAATTTCCATCGCTAAGGAAGACAGAGACTTCCCCCCCATTTTATGACCTTTTTTGCCACAGATGTTAAGTGACTCATTGCAGTTGTTAAGTGAATAACCCGATTATTAAGTGAATCTAGCTTCCTCATTGACTGTGCTTGTCAGGAATTCACAAAAAGCAATCACATGACCCTGGGACAATGCAACTGTCATAAATAGGAGTCAATTGCCAAGCATCTGAATTTTGATCATGTGACCTAGGGGATACTGCAACGGTCGTGTCAAAAACAGTCACAATTCACTTTTTTCAGTGATGTTGTAACTTCAAACTGTCACTCAATGAATGATTTTAAGTGGAGAACTACCTGTTCTAGTTTCTTCACTCTTTTCCATTGGTGTGAATCTGAATTATTTCCCCCAGCCTCATTTAAGCCAATCCTGAGCCATAAAAAACAAAAAAGCATCCTTTAGCGCTCGCTGATTTTGGGGGATGATCCTTCCACTATTTTCATCACTTTCCTACTTTCTGCTACTCTCAGGGTCTTCCCAAGGCTGCTGCTATCGTCTCATTTCCCAATGATTATATTTAGAAGCCAGTTTTGTCAGCAATAAAGTGATCAAAATAAGGAAATATCTATTTCGGAATAAACAAAGATAGAGCAGATTCGGGCTAATAATTTACCGTCCTCTTCCCCAGCTCCCCACTGTTCTCTTTCATTGTCTTAATGTACGGACCTTTCAGCTTTTCTCAAAGAAAAACAAGATGCTATTTTTATCCAGAACACATCATCAGCCGCGGCTACCGTCCTGCTGTGCACTGCCACAAGACTGACCCGTCTGTCTCTGCTCAGTTTTTTTAATTTGTTCTCTCTGAACACATTTGTTCTTTTAACTTAAAGGGACACCAGGAAAAAGATTAGTGTAAGGCAAGGGTAAGGCAACTTTAAGACTTGTGGACTTCAACTCCCAGAATTCCCCAGCCAGTATGAAATCCACAGGTCTTAAAGTTGCCAAGGTTGGGATGTCCTTGGTGTAAGACAAAGGGGTTGACCCTACTGAAAATATCTTAATATCTTTCAGTAAAAGACAAACGCCTTCATGGATTACTGCCTTGTCATGCCGAAGGGGCTTGTGTAACTCAAGGAATCTATGAGCTATGCCGTGCAGGGCCACTCAAGACAGACAGGTCATAGCAGAGAGTTATGACAAAATGTGATCCATTGGAGAAGGAAATGGCAACCTACTCCAGTATCTTTGCCATGAAAACCCCATGGACAGTACCAAGGTTTTCCCAGTTGCAATGTGTGGCTATGAAAGTTGGACCATAAGAAAGGCTGAGCGCCAAAGAATGGAGGCCTTTGAACTATGGTGCTGGAGAAGACTCCTGCGAGTCCCCTGGACTGCAAGGTATTCAAACTGGTCAGTCCTAGAAGAGATCAACCCTGACTGCTCTTTAGAAGGCCAGATCCTGAAGTTGAAACTCAAGTACTTTGGCCACCTAATGAGAAGGAAGGACTCACTGGAGAAGAGCCTGATGCTGGGAAAGATGGAGGACAATAGAAGAAGGGGACAACAGAGAATGAGGTGGCTGGATGGAGTCACTGAAGCAGTAGGCGTGAATTTAAATGGACTCCAGAAGATGGTAGAGGACAGGAAGGCCTGGAGGAATGTTGTCCATGGGGTCGCGATGGGTCAGACATGATTTTGCAACTAACAACAACAAAAAGACAAAGGCCGCTCTTTCAAAGACAAGCAAAGTCCACATTGTGGACAGAGAGGACCGCTGTTTTGAAAGAGGGGTCAAAGAGGCCACCTATGTCAAAACTGAACAGCCCTCTCTCAATAGAGGGGGAGGGATACGAGATGTCATCTATCTCCAGTCTACAACACAGTCCTTTCAGCAGTTCCAGGAAGGCTCCACACCCATTTGCACCACTCAGGTAACCTTGAGAACACAAGTAAACCTCCAAATGGCCTCAAGGACTCTCTAAAAGCATGCAAATGACCAGCTGTCTGCAAGGAGTATAAATCCTTCCATTCCCCACCATCCAGTCAGAGCTGAAGAAGCTTCTTGGATGAGAAGCGAAACGTCTTCAAAGGAAAAACAAGAAAGTTGCCCCCTGAAAAAGCATCTTTGGGACAACTTTCAGTATCTACTGAGGGAAAATTGACAAGCTGTTTATCCACTGTGATTATCCTGTTAACAAAGCATTCCCTGAAAAGAGAAAGGATTATAGGATTTTAAGGTAGCTTGAAGGGTTTCCTTTCAGGTAATTTCAGCTGTGATGCTCTTTAGCTCATCTGCCAAAGAAATTCCTAAGCCAGGTGATTTTGATATCTCAATACTGTACCTGTTGGATTTCTGTTTTTCATGCAACTGCTACTGTAGAAACTAAAAACTCATCCGGTATTTATTTGAGGCTAACTGGATCAGATCTATTCAAATGTTTGCGCTGATAAGAAGGTGCTTCACATTTTTGTTAAGGCTCCAAATCTTGATAGTTAATTAAGTCAATGTCATATGGTAAGGTGACCAACTTTTTTACAATGAAAAGGAGGACACAAATAAATTGAAGAAAAAAATATCGTAAATAAAAGAAACCATTTTTTTCATTGCATCAATAATATAGATAACTTGCATGTGCAAAGTTTGCCGGCTGGGTGTTTTGGCGCGCTCAGCAGCAATTCCTATTGGCTTTGGAAAGCCAATAGTGGGAGTAGCACAGCTCATGCAAAAGTTGGAAAAAAAAACATCAAAAAAAGGTGCCGGAATGCCGTTCTGAGCGTTCTATGAGGGAAAAAAAGCCCTGCAGATTAGTCTTCAAATATCGAAAAGGAAGACATGAAGGAGGACACTTTTTGAGGGAGGACAGAACTTACAAAAGGAGGACTGTCCTCCCTAAAGGAGTACGGTTGGTCACCTTACATATGGACAGTCATTAAACCATGATTGGGAGGATCCAGGCTAAATCATGATTTTATGAATGGTCCTTTCTCCTCTGGGGATTTATTTTGATTTTGCTATGCACGCTGTCCACATAACCAGCTGGCTAAGAAGAATCTGAAATAAATCCTCATTTCTGAAGTTAGGAGACCTCAGGGGTCTTCATGTGGATCAAAAGCCCCAGATACAAAGGAACTTATTTCACCTTACAAGAATTAGGATAGATTTGGAAGGGACTCCTGAATTGATAATGTGCTTATTTAAAGTTAAATTTGATGATGGTCTTGTAATTGCATAAAGCTGTAAAACAGGTTTAGGATTATTAGAAATTTAAGTTAGAAACAGACTATTTTAAAATATAAGCTATTTGAGGGAAAGAGAGAGGGAATGTTTGATGTATTGATTAAGTTATCTATATATGTTTTGTTTTTGGATTCGTGACTACCCCTGTACCACGGTGTGTCTCGAGCACGTTGTCTTAAAAATTAAAAATCAATAAAATTTGTTGTTGTTTTTTTTAAAAAAAGACCCAGATGGCA